ACAAGTCTGCACTTGATATGGTTAGACTTGGTGGTACTAGTTCAGAAACATATGAGAAGACAGTGGAAGTGTTGACAAAGCTGATTGGAGAACTTCAGGTCATGTGTACTTCGCAAGTTGTAAACAACAAGGAAATTCACTACGGAGATAGAACAATTGGGAAGAAACCTACTGGTGTGCAATTGGATGATAGTGTAGACAGTTCTGACTCGGAGCATGGAATGTCTGATGAATTTTGTGTAGCCGATGAGGACGGCATTGGACAGGATGTTTCTGCTGGTGAGGATTCAGTTGATGTGGACATGACTGATGTCAACGAAGAAGACATACTCCCTCCTGAGGTTAGAAGAAGTCGTGGACGACCGAGGAGTACCAGACTGATGTCGAAGGGAGAGACATCTAGCAAAGCAAAGAAGAAGAAGGCTAGTGAGAGTACCTCCAAGGACGAGTCGAAGAATCACGCCAAAGGAAAAAAAGAGTCAACGAAGCAGATTAGGTACTGCAAGCAATGTGGTGGTCATGGCCACTATAAGAGTACATGTGGTCGGAAATCTAGTTATGAGAGGAAGAAGTGAGTGTAATTATTCTGTTCAATGTTCTGCAGGGTTGATGTTAGCATTTCGTTTAGCATACAATGGAAATTTTATTATTATTAAATTTCGTCAGCAGAACATGTAGTTCATTTTGAATATTTACATTTGGCAAACATTGTAGGAAATTTGCGAACACTAGTTTTGTATTTTCCTATTTTCTGTTGTGCCTCAGAGTATGTGGTGAAGTTGTAGTCTTTGGAAGCATCCTATTGGAGCAGAACATGGCTAATTGTTTCTGCTAGAGGTAGTGTTGGACGAATCTTCGTGGGAGCCAAAAACGTTTTTCATCATGCTCTGCATCGGGAGCAGAACATGAAAAGAGTGCGTGTGGTGTTTTTTTAGATGGGGTTTAGCACGGTAGCAGAACATGGCTAGTAGTTTCTGCTGTTGTTCTGGTGGGATGTTTTCTCGGCAGCAGTACATGGCTAATAGTTTCTGCTGTTGTTTGGTGGGATGTATCCTCGTGGTAGCATAAATCAATTGGCATACTGTTCTGCTCTGGGAGCAGAACTTGTCTTTTTTTCGCCGGGCATGCACTGATTTGGATCGTGTCATGATCTGCTCTCTAAGTTTGGAGGAGAGCTGATCACGTAATGTACGGCAACAGAAGATGTAATTAGTTTGTAGTATTTAATTTGCCATAGGTGAACATCATGGATTTGATGTTGGGAAAATCTAAATTTATGATATTTGGAAGGTAAATGACAAATTCATTAATTTGGGAAGAGAATAACAGAGAACATGAAGCCTTGAAAAATGTTGAATAAGAACAAGACAAATATTATTGGGACCTAACAAATTTTAGATAATAATGATGTAACTGAATGTAATCTTTATTTTGGCATGCTTGCATAACATGCTCAGATCTTGTTAGATAACTTCAGGCAGTGAACGACGAAGTCCGGCAGAATAGCTTCGTTGCCTTTGAATGACAATAAGTTGGACAGAAATTCCTTTCGAAGATCTCGTTGATCCTGTTGTTAATATAGAAAAATATTTATTATAAAAGGAAGCTACTTCAATGAAACTTAAGTTGAACCTAGTGTGTACATAAAACTCACAGATTTTGGGGGGTTCACAAGGCGAGTTCCATCCCAGTTTCGCATGTAGTAGAGCACGTGAAAGGCACATTCCAGCCTACCAAAATTGTTATTATTGTAATGACCATAAATGAGTAGAATGAAAAAATTAATTTGGATCAAATTGGGAGCATGAACTGGAACCTGTTGTTTATAGCTGGGATGGCCGAAGGGAACTCAGAAACCCAGTTTGGTATATCCTCATCCCAATCTGGAAATGCAAGCTTCATGCACTCCTTCAGAGCAGATGAAATGTGAAATTTTGTTTTTAAGTGTCTTTCTGCTGTATCCTCTGATCTTTTCGAGGCGTCTCTCAGTGGGTCAAGAATGCATAATTTTTTTTTCTCCATATCAAATGCGTATAGAGAATAGTGCAATGGTTGAAGTAGTGGAATAAATATCTGCAAATTAATATTGACATTGCAAAAGTTAGTGGCCTGAACATTTGCACTTGATGTACTGAATTTTTCAAGATGCTGTTAATTATCAAACCAGGTGGCAACTAGGTACGTCATATGGTATCAGAGAGTCATCTTTGAATGAGGGGAGATGATCCTCTGGGTTCCACTGGTCATCACCAGCTGTTGCAAACATCTACAGCGCCATATTGTGTTAAAACACACCATATTTCAGAATTAAAATAGTCTAGAGTAATTGGAAGCACTTACTGCAAAATCTTGATTTAAGAAATGTCTCCAGCATACAAAATCAGTTCCTCCAAATCTCTGTATCTCATCCGCTGCTAATACTTGAACTGCAACATTGAATGTTTCTTCTTGCATTTGAGTGTCTAGCCGAATAGCCTGTTGTATGTCATGTAGGCTTAATGACATAGGGACAGGTTGGGAGATGTGAACCCAGATTTTCCTGTTAAATGTGATATCTTTACAATTAGTGGTGAAAGAAAGGAACATTTCAGGTAGGTGGCTTACATTAGAGCTTATGCATAAGCGATTGAAGTTGTATATGTGTATAAATCATCAAGTGTTTCAGATAGGTGGCTTACTTAAGAGCTTCTGCATCAGTGATTGAAATTGCATATGTGTATAAATCATCAAGTGCCTTCTGGTCATGCCTGACGAAAGAGTGTTGCTTGCTCAGAAATGGTGATTTCACCGAATGGCTTGGTTTAATCGACCTCTTTGGCCGATCGAATAGGATATCAGAAGGACCGCCGATAATTCTCCTCTTGGATTTAGGTGGGAGCTTTGTACATGCGTACTCCTCACGCATGAAAATCCTCGCCCCACTCGTCTCTTTCAACATAGAGTACGGAGAGAAACTACTAAGTTTAGTTTGTTGGTAACCTATTATGAGACAGAACAGTAAGAGTGAGACATATTATGTGCATGTGGTTGGTTATGAATGAAAATGAAAAACTGATACAGGCTTGTGGGTATCATTACCTCCATGCGAAGAGGGAGTTTTGTGCACTGCATTACCTTATCCGGATTTGTCAGAGGCATCTACTGACTTTGAGATTGGCTGATCTGGGGTACGTGCTAAAAAGTTGAGTTCTTGTTCTTTGTCAGAGTCTTCAGCCACATTGGAGATGTCATGACCTGGGGTACATGCCACCATGTTTGCTTCTTCGATATCTTGTGTTATTCCTAGATTAAAGCTTGGGGGCTCGATGTCAGACCTGGCATCGTAGGTACGATCCACATGGATAGCCTGTGTACAGATATATCAACAATTCTTATGGAAAAATGGATTCTTTTTATATTGAATAGATTGACAAACTACATGAGATTGCACCTCTATCAAACTCCATCTGTTTCACTAGCTCTTTTTGCTGATCACCAAAACCTGAGAATAGATCTGAGAGAATAGCAGGAGTGCACCTGGTGTAAATTTTTTCTTGTACTACCTTTTTACCCTTGATGCCACTTGTTTTTTTGGAATTTGATACTGCAGAACCAGGTAGCTGCTTCCGCTGATGCATCTTTCTTGCTTGAGCAGCATGAAGGGCTCTAGTGAAAACAGAACTAGAGCCACCACCACCTGAAACATTCGCACCTGCTGCAGGACTGCAAAGGTGCTGCAAATGCAAAAACATAAACAAAACAAATTAGTAAGAGATACGATCAAAAAAAGACTCAAAGATTAGGAAAAAAAATCCATCAATGGCTGCCGCGAGCTTCGACGGCGCCGGTGTTGGGGCGCTCGGCGTGCACGCGGCACATTGGGGCGCTCCTCTCCGGCAGCCTGCAGCCTGACACTGCTATACCGTACCAATGTCAGGTTGGTGCTGTTCATCGTCGCCATGGCCGGCACCACATTCACTGCAAAATAACAGATGAATATGGCAACAAACCTTGGAACTGGAGTTCTCCATGCTAGACCTTTCAATGTTATCTGCAACGCAGCCGCCGGCGAGGCTACTAATCTGAGTTTAGATGGGTTAAGAACTCTCAAAACGCAAAGAACAGTTTTAGATCGATAATGTTCTGCTCGACGGGATAATCATCCTGCTTTCTCGCTTTGGATAAGCAAACTGAAGAGCGAAAAAACCACCCTGAAATATATCTGGTCAGCTGTCTCCGAACAAAATTCTATCTACAACAAACTCAGGAATCTTGATTCAATTTTCGAATCTGCTACAGAACAGAAACAATCTTGTTGACCCCGAGGGAAAAAAATACGGGTAAAAGAAAACGGGTAAAAGTATTCGATTCAATAAACCCGTTAATAGTCATTACCATTATCTGGGCAAACGAATTGAATTGGTGGCGGACAGGGAGGGAGTAGCTACTCCCGGTAGTAGTATATATATATATATATATATATATATATATATATATATATATATATATATATATATATATATATATATATAAAACGACGCTTAACACGGTAACCAGACCCACCCCCACTCCACCCATTTTGATTATGATATTTGACTACTACACGTCCTCAGTCCCACGTGCTGCGCAACCCTCCTCCCTCTCCCCCCACACCACCAATGCGTATCCCCATAGTACCACACATATTGATTCGCGAGTTAAATCTTTACTACTACATAGCTCACCATACATACTCATATTTAGTCAGTTAAATTTTATCTAAGTGTTATTCAGCAACTATAATAAACATCACGTTTAGTCATGTATATTTTTTTTTCAAATTTTTTAGGAATCATTTTGACTCACATTGAAACAAATCAGTTATTTTTTAACTGCCATCGAAGGTAGTCTCTTTTTTTTTTCACTCCAACTCATCCGACACTAAGTTATTTTTTAACTATGAACACAATTAATTGTTAACTACGAGCCATTTTTTTTAATTTTTTCCAGGCACAATGTATACAGCAGCGATTTTTCAGTCATTTCAAACTATTGTAGTTATCGTCTCCCCACTTTTTTCGGTTAGTTTTTTTTTTCTCGCCGGCGACAGTGAGCGCCCTTCTTCTCTCGCCGCCTGTGCAGCGGAGGTCGCCCGCGCCGCCGCAAGTTCCTTCCAGGCGGGGATAAGCGGCTGCGAGGTAACGTGCTACACAACACCGCCCCAAAACATTTTCCCCTATTGGATGGCGACTTGGGCGCTCCATCGACTGCTGGATGGCACCATGCGGTTGAGGCTGCGACACCCCCCCCCCCCCCCCCCAAATGGCACCGTCGGCTGCCCCTCTGTCACCGACATCCATCCCATCGCCGGATCTAGGAGAGCTTCGCCCGAATCCTCTTTTGATTCTTGCGTGTCGGTGGTGGGTGGAGAGCAGCGGTACCAACGACATTTGAAGCACAGAGGGTGGCAGGATTCGGAGAGGAGGCTGCGGATCTGGGGTCCGATGGGTCGTTCTCCCTCCTCCCCTAAAGCGGTGGCGAAGAATGTCAGTAAATTGTCGTTGCCGTCGTGCGCGGCAGGTCAGCGCCGGCAAAGAATACAGGAGGTCCGTGTAGCAGCTGTAGTCAATTGAAATCTATTTCAGGTACAGCTCGTTAGTTCCTATCAACTAGTAGCGTTATATGGTATCAGTAGTTTTTTTATCAGCCTGTATTGGATTGCACCGTCGTTTTGATTTTGGATGAGCTATGTGCCTGTGTTGGCTGTGGGGATGCGGTTTTGTTAAGATTGGGTAGTAACCACTGATTAATGCCTGCCGACAGAAGGGCATGCGTTTCTCAATTGGCGGCCAACGTGAACCTTTGTTTCACAGGCAACTTCATTCCTAGCCAACGGGATGAAGTTAATATATGTCAGGTACCTAACAGAACTAATCTTTCTGATGTTTTGACTGATCTTTGATTCATGTCTTTTGTATCCGTGTATTGAGTGGACACATCCAACCTAAACACATTAGAAGTTGTTTGGTGGATGGCTTCGCTTGGTGCTATAAGTGTATATGTGATGATTCATGCATGCAGGGCTGTTCTTAGCTTCTGAAAACAACAGAAGAACTAGGATGATCTGTAGATGTGCACATGTGGCCTAGAGTCAGCTTAGGTGTCGCATTCTCTGACAAACGATTGCTTTGGTAAACCAAGACTGGTGTTTTTTATTAGTACTAATTTGGTTTATTTGATTAGTTGTATATACAATCAATTGTTTCCTGTAAATAATTTTGACTGAACGTTACAATTGAAGTTATTCTATGTCCTCCATGGCATTCAGATGGTAACTGAAAATATATGATCGCTGGTAGGACTATGTGCTTTCAACTCTGTAGCTTGCAGCAGTTCTCTTGGTAAAAACGAGCCAAAAATTCTCTAATAAGCTTAATCCACACGATCAACAATTCATAAGCCTCTTATCAACGCTTTGCCACTTATCCCTGATATGTACCACCAAATGCCCATTTCGATTTCCCATGAGCTTGCACTTGCATTAATTTTTGGCTTTTCAGCCTGCAAACATCACCATGTCCTGTGCAATGCTCAGTTGCTCATAGCCTCATACTATGAGTCAATCCACTAAGGCATGCCTACTCATAGTGCATTTATATATGGCAAATTTTGGTCTTGCAGGAACACAATGTAACCCGGTGGACTCGAAGATGATGAAATGCATCATGCGGTGACATGGGAAACATTGTCGCTAGCGCCGGAGGTATAACTTTCAACAATCACTAATAATGCACCTCTGTTGGTTGTTAGTGCACTAATCTTTTGAGGCATTACTGATTTTATGGTCTGCATGTTTAATAGCGGCCATGCTTGATCCTGGGCTGCCCATCCTGATTCCTAATGCTACCGCCACACAGTCCTGTTCTACGCTGGTTGGTTGGCGAGCCAGCCGCCTCCACTACAACATTCGTCCATCAAAGATGGATCCCGTGGAGAAGAGGAGGATCTGCTGATCTGAATTTCTTTGATGATTTTTGTTGGAGTGTTTATATCCTTTGTAATTTTTTTACTTTTGAGTTTAAGCATGTAATTTGTTTATTGTATAGTGTGTGTCTGAATGTAACAGAACCCGTGTGTAAAAGAAAATATTGTTAATATCTGACCGGCAGTGATTTATTTACTCACGGGCTGACATACTGTTGTAGGGTCAAAACAAGTAATTTTTTAACTCACCGTGTTAGGCTCCAAAGTAATTTATTTACTCGCGGTCTAACAGGGACGAAATAACAAGGAATGATTTTTTTACTGGAGGAACGGAAAGAAGAATCGAACGAGAGGGAGAGAAAAGCGGGAGTGGGAGCGTGCGCCAAAATAAAAAATTTACTCGTGGCTGTAGGCTCCAAAGTAATTTTTTTACTCGCGGTCTAACAGGAAAGAACGGAATAATAGCAGAAAAACTTTTACTGGAGGACCGAGAAGAGGGGTGGAACGAGAGGGATGCGGTGGGATTTTTTTTCCGGGATCGGGAAAAAACGGAAAATCCGGAGGCCAGCAGTGATGAGAGTCGCGCTACTAACTATCGTAGCGCCACACACGCGCCATGTAGCGCTACCGTGTGTGTCTACATACATACATACATACATACATACATATATATATATATATATATATATATATATATATATATATATGTATATATATATATATATATATGTATATATATATGTATATATGTATATATATATGTATATATGTATATATATATGTATATATGTATATATATATGTATATATATATGTATACATATATATATATATATATGTATATATATATGTATACATATATATATACATATATATATATACATATACATACATATACATATATACATACATACATATACATATATACATACACTGGTGGAGAAACCATCTTTAATCGGTCGGCCAAAATACACAATAGTCTCGGTTGCAATAAAAACCGAGACTAAAGATATCTTTAGTCCCGGTTCAAAAGGATAGAGTTTTTTTTTTATCTTACCAACCGGGACTAAAGATCTACACTAACCGGGACTAAAGATCTCTATTATCTTTAGTCCCGGTTAGTGTTACCAACCGGGACTAAAGATAGATCTTTAGTCCCGGTTGGTAACACCAACCGGAATAAAAGATCGGCATGCGCAACATGGGCGGCGAAGAGTACGAGACCAAATCGAGGAGGAGGAGGAGCAGTTAATATATTCTATCTCCTCCCTGGCCTTATCTCTTCCTCCTCCATATCTCTTCCTCTTCTTCCTCCTCTCCTTTTAACTTCTCTCCTCCTTTTCCTCTTTCTCCTCTACCAGCGCCGGCGGGCGGAGGGCCTGGCGGCCGGCGGCGCGGAGGCCCGGACGGCCTCGCGGGCGGGAGGGGGGGCGGCCCGGGCGGCCTCGCGGGCAGCGCGGTGGCCGGGCGGCGCAGCGGCCCAGGCGGCCTCGCGGGCAGCGCGGTGGCTGAGCGGTGCTGCGGCCCGGGTGGCGCGGTGGTTGGGGGCGGCGCGGCGTTGGGCGGTGCGGTGGCGGGCGGTGCGGCGAAGGGCCAGGCGGCCTCGCGGCGGGCGGCGCTCCGGCGGCCGGCGGCTGGCGGCCGGCGCGGCAGTGGCAACGGGCTTTTTTTTCTTCTTCTTTTTAGAATTTGTGATTCGGATCTGTGTATTTGATTTGTGTGTGATGTGAATGTGATGTATCTATGATGAATTTTGTAAAATTTGTGATGTATCTGTGATGTATCGATTTGGGGAGTTGAGGATTTGGGGATAATTTATTTGGGATTTTGGGAAGGGGATGTGGTGAAATCAATATAATGAAGAAAAGAAAATAATAATGGAGCAACCGGATCTAGCTAGTCTAGCTCTATCTTTAGTCCCGGTTGGTGTTACCAACCGGGACTAAAAAGGCTCTATCTTTAGTCCCGGTTGGTAACACCAACCGGGACTAAAAATGGATTTTTACTCCCGGTTTTTTCACCCGGGACTAAAGATAGTGATCTTTAGTCCCGGATTGGTAGTCCCGGTTTGAAAACCGGGACTATAGGGGGGTTACGAACCGGGAGTAAAGCCCCTTTCTCCACCAGTGATACATATATACATATGTACACATATATATACATATGTACATATATATACATATATACATATATATATACATCTCTCAACTTACAAAACCGTTCACTTTAGATCCTTTTGTGGTTTTTATCCTGATTTTGTCTTACATGGTGGCTAAGTCAGCGCAGAACCCACATGGGCTCCATATGTCAGAATGCCAGGTCATCTCTCTCCCTCCTCTTCTCTCCCTTCCTCATCTCTCTCTCTCACTTCTCTCCTCTCTGCATGGCGGCTGGTGGGTGGGGACGAGGTCACCAGGGCGAGGCGGGAGAGGAGATTCTGTGGACGTCGCGTGCGACCTCGGGGTCGGACCGTCGACACGAGAGAAGGGAGGCGGCGGCGGCTGCGACGGTTGAGAAGGGAGAGGCAGACGGCGGCGAAGCAGGGTCGGCGGCTGGCGACCACGCGGGAAGAAGCTGGGCGGCGGCGTGGGAAGAAGCTATCTTATACGTCGTGCCCGTTCCGCCCACAACCGCCTGCTCCACTCGCCGCTCCTCCGCGCTCACACACTCCTGCCGCCCACGCCACCCTCGCTCTCCCCATTCGGCTCCCCATCGATGCCATTTGCCTCCGCCTCGTCGATGAGGTTCGACCATTGTCGAGGCGGAGATGTATAACTGGACGACGACGGATTCGCTTTCTTCTTTCCCCTCGCTTCTCCTCTCTCTCCCCTCCAGATGGTCGACATTGACCGTCGCCTGCCGGTGCCGCACGACCTCCTGCACCCGCCCTCCCACATCGCCGGCTTCCATGGCCTCTCCACAGCCAAAACCAAACACTTCAAATGGTGTCGCCGCCTCCCGCGCACGCACCGCGGCGCCGACGGCGTGTACCTTGCTGCCACAGCCTCTTCCTCTCCCGCAGCGCGCCTGCCAGCCGCTCGTCTGCTCCGCAGACCAACAGCTCCCCGTACTGTCGCCTGCTCCGTCAACCGCTCGCCCGGTCCTCCGGCAGGCCAATGCGGCGGGCGCAGCTACCGCCGCCGCTCCGCCCAACGCCCGCCCGCTCCGCCAGCCGGCTGCTCCCCGCGCCGTCGCCCGCTCCTCCAGCTGGCCGCTCCACCCCGCGTCGTGCCCTCTCCAGCGATCTGCTTGGAGGGGAGGGGAGAGAGGATAGAGAGAAGAAGGGAAAAGAGACTAAGGTTTCACTTACATGTGGGGCCCACGTAGGTCCTACGCTGACGCAACCGCCACGTCGGACAAAACTGGAGTCAAAACCACCGAAGGACATATAGTAAACGGTTTTCTAAGTTGAGGGATGTTATATATCTGGTTTTGAGATTAGGGGACGATTTTGTAACTCGATGATAAGTTGAGAGACCTTCGGTGTACTTTTTTCCGAGACAGAAATACCCCTCTATTGGGCCGACCCATTAAAATGGGCTAGGAAAATGTTATCCCGACCTCCAAGGATTAACTTTTAATCTTAACAGTCCAGTCCATTCATGTCACCTTATTTCATTCTAATGTTCTATTCATTTTCATTTCCCATTCCACCCTTCATAACCCATTATCGAAACTCACGCTCCGGCCTCTGGGCTAGTAGCAATGTGTTTGCTTTAGGCGTATATTTGGTAGTGATATGATTGCAAATGCTCTTGTTTAGCACAACTCTAGATTTTAGGTCATGTTGAAAGTTTATATATGTTAAATTATAGTTGTTTAAAGTTTCGTATTTTATTTTAAATAAAAGTAAAATTATTTATCCAAATGTTACAGAGAAAATTTGATCTATAGCAATGGGAAAAAAATCAGTACTAAAAAATAGCACAAAATTTTCCCTTTTCAACAAGAAGCATATGCCACTTAGTTTTTCTTCAATTCATAGCACTCCTGTCATATGTTCCGTTCATGTATGTAGGTTTATATACTATTTTTTTTTGTTACCTTTATTTTCTGTGCTACAGAAATTTTCTCAACTAGGAAGGTAGCCCGCGCATTCGAGCGGGCATGTACCGTATGTAGGATGAATTTAAGAAACTTATAGGAGCGGTATAACAGCGAAATAATATCTGCAACGTTTAAAATTGTGATTGTTTCCATGAATTTTCTTCGTTAGCATCACAAAACGAATTTAATTGTTATTTATAAAATTATCTATTGAAGATTGGGGTTGGTATGGTACCTTAAGAGTCTAAGACATATGACTCTTGAAGTTCCATATGGAAAGTGTAAAACTTAAGTTATAAAAGATATTACATATACAACCATATATAATTAATGGTTGTACTGATTTATGTAGAAAAATTGATACTAACTTTATTATTTGGCAGATATCGATTGGCCATAGCTATGGATAATTCCTCATAGGAAATTATGAATATGTGTACAGTATAGGGATACAAATTAGAAAAAAAAAGTAGAAGTTATGAGAAAAAAACAAAATATATGACCCTCAATTTTTACCTAATTCGGTAGTCCATCATTTCTAACCATTGGATATTCAGATGATCTAACATATTGTGTATAGTCCAACCAACCAAATTATTCGTCTTTCCTCATTACAGATGTTGGACATGTTAATCCGGATAAATCTATGTATCTATGATTTACATATATAAAAATTTAAGTATAATAAAATATACACCCTACTCTACCAATGCAGCGAACGATGTGTGCGACAGGTTCGCCACGGCTGGCTTCAACACGAACATGATCGCGTACCTGACGCAGCAGCTGCACCTGCCGCTGGTGGCAGCCTCGAATCTCCTCACCAACTTCACCGGCACGGCTGATTCCTTCGCCGGCCACCTCTGGACCACCGCCGCCCCCAGCGTTCTGTCCCAGCTCGGCATGCTCGGCCTCGTCGTGTCCGCGCTCGTCCCTGCTCCGCCCCGCGCCGTGCAGCGCTGCCGCCGCCGCCCTGTGACAATGACTATTTAGAGTATGTACAAATACATATGTACGCACGCACTGAGGAGAGGGTGGGCCTATGGGAGAATAGGTGGGCTGTGGGATTTTTTTTTCTAAAGATAAATATAATAGTTGAAAATAGTAGGTCTAGCGATTTATTATTATAGAAATAGTGGGTCCACCAATTTATTATAACGCCACGTGATGGCTTAGAAGCGTTTGTAGGATTCTCACGTGGTAGCTTGAGAGCGTTTGTAGGAAGTTTAATGGACTTTTAGTATATAATAGATAGAAGATAGATAAATAGATGTTTTGACATAGTCGTAAATTCAGATTCATGAACTTGTGAATCTAGAATACCCAGCCCCAAAACATGTTGGATCCGGAGTTGTGCCAAACATTCCCCTATTAGGGGAAACTACTTCATTTATTGATCAAATTTATTCAGTCCATATGCGTCCCTAAATCAACAGCAGATGAACACGGTCGCCAAGGCAAAACAACAACATGCCAAGAACACAACAACAGAGATTATTCTTCTTGGTTACTGATGATTATTTTTGTATCGCATTGATCAGATTTTGGGGACGGCGGCGAGGGCTTCCTGCAGCTTCTCGTCGGAGTGGGAGAGGTCGACCATGTCGCCCCTCAGGTACTTCTCGTAGGACGCCAGGTCGAAGTGGCCGTGCCCGCACATGGCCATCAGGATCACCTTCTTCTCCCCCGTCCTCTTGCACTCCATCGCCTCCCTGATCGCCGCCGCGATCGCGTGCGTCGGCTCCGGCGCCGGGATGATCCCCTCCGTCCGCGCAAATTTCAACGCAGCTGGAGTTCAAAGCAAAAACAATTATGCAATCACATACATCAGCTTTCGGGAGAACGAAATCATGGATAATTTCAGATTATAATACTTTCTAGTATTACCCACATTTATATAGATATTAATGAATTTAGACATACATATATGTCTAGATTCATTGGCATATATATGAATGTGGGCAATGCTAGAAAGTCTTATAATATAAAACGGAGATCTAGCATTATAATATAAAACGGAGATAGTAGTACGGAGTACCATCGAAGCATTCAGTTTGTTGGATGGCAATGGCTTCCATGAATCCAAGCTCATACACATGGGAGATTAGTGGCGCCATTCCATGGTAGCGAAGCCCTCCTGCAATTGCAAACAATGGCTTGGGTTTATTAGCAACCAAGAACTTCAAATTGGAGCAAGAACTGAAGAAGTGTGCATTGTTGAGATCGATAAAAGAATTCGAGACCTGCATGGATGGGGTCGGGGACGAATCCATGGCCGAGGGTGTGCATCTTCATGAGCGGCGTGAGGCCGGCGGTGTCGCCGAAGTCGTAGGCGTAGACGCCCTTGGTGAGCGTCGGGCACGCCGCCGGCTCGACGGCCTTGAACGCCGGGCTCATCCTGCCGGCGAGCTTCTCGCGCATGAACGGGAACACCAGCCCGCCGAAGTTGGACCCGCCGCCAGTGCAGCCGATGACGACGTCGGGGACGTCGCCGGCGGCCGCCAGCTGCTCCAGGCACTCCTCCCCAATCACCGTCTGGTGGAGCAGCACGTGGTTGAGCACGCTGCCGAGGCAGTACTTGGTGTCGGCGTCCCTCGCCGCCACCTCCACCGCCTCCGAGATGGCGATCCCGAGGCTGCCCGGGCTCGCCGGGTCGCGTTCCAGGATCCTCCTCCCCGACTCCGTCGCCGCCGACGGCGACGGGTGCACCGTGGCGCCCCACGTCTCCATCATCAGCCGCCGGTACGGCTTCTGGTCGTACGACGCGCGCACCTGCCACACCTCGCAGGTGAGCCCGAACAGGCTGCTCGCGAACGACAGCGCGCTGCCCCACTGCCCGGCGCCGGTCTCCGTCACCACGCTCCTCACCCCGGCGGCGGCGTTGTACCACGCCTGCGGCACCGCCGTGTTCGGCTTGTGCGACCCCGCCGGGCTCGTCCCCTCGTACTTGTAGTAGATCTTCGCCGGCGTGCCCAGCAGCTTCTCCAGCCTCCTCGCCCTGCATCACCAATATATCCGCCATTGCAACAACTTTTAACAAAGAACTCTTCTGAATTCCAGCGCTGAGATTGGCAACAATGCAGACGAAGTTCTAGAGGCTCATTGGTTGACCACATTTCCTAATAGCTTATCCACGAATAAAAATTACTGCCTCAAATTGTTTAACATAAATTAAATTAATGTTTGAGAAAAAAGAAACTATAGTGACCGTATAGGTAAGAGTGGAAGTCTGGAAGGGTGGTTAAAAGTATAATAGGAAAAAAAACTTAATGAAATATGATTGACAAGACAATCAGTACTTCATTGTGATAACTATTTTGGGACAAATCTGAATCTAATAAATACAATAATTATGAGATGGAGATAATGATTTATAGGTGAACCTTTTGTATGTGCATTCTTAGGCAGCGTTAGTTCTGGGAGATTAGAGATAGAATGCACATCGTTTTCCACGTGCACGCTTCCCAAACTATTAAACGGTGTGTTTTTTGCAAAAATTTTCTATAGGAAAGTTGCTTTAAAAAATCATATTAGTCCATTTTTAAAATTTGAAATAATTAATATTTAATTAATCATGCACTAATAGCTCACCTCGTTTTGCGTATCTTTCCAATCTTCTCTATCTCCCCTTTCTCAAACACAGCCTTAGTGATTTAAAAGCCAATATCCAATAAAAACTACGTTGAAAATATTTCAAAATCAGCTTCAAAATTAAGCTTGAAAATTCACATTTTGGCTTTAACTTTGGTTTATTAGGCCTACCGATGGAGATGCTAGTGTTCTACCTGATCAGCGGCGTCGGGCGCCAGAGCTTGTAAACCTCGGCGACCTCCTCCGGGATGTCGATGAACCGCTCCTCGGTCACCTCCTGCCTGATCAGCTCGTCGGGGAAGAGAGGGGACAGGTCACTAGGGTTCAGTGGCTGGTGCGTCTGCGGGTGCAGCGGCGGCGGTGGCTTCACCGGCAGGTCGGCGACGAGGTTGTACCATTGCTTCGGGATGCTCACAGGATTCGAGCTGGCCCTGGCAGTGAAGCTTCTTCTTCTGACAGAAGCTCTCTGCTTTGGTTTGCAAAGGAGTGAGGCTTTTTCTGAACCTGCTGCTGCAATACAGGTAGTAGTGTTCATCAGGTTAGTGTGTGTGCAGATTTGCAGCTCCAGAATTCAGAAATTAGATTGAAGGCCTGTTCACTTTGATGCCATTTTCAACCTTACTTTTAGTAAGGTTGCTAAAAAAGTGGCTACATTTAATTTGCTGCCAAATTTTAATAACTATATAAAAAATCCTGCCAAAATTTTGACAACTATACTAAAATTTTAGCAATGCCAAAATTTGATAAGGTTTTTTTGGCATCAAAGTGAACAGGCCCGAAAAAAAAAGATATACTACTATTAATTTCCATAAGATCTAGATAAGCATTTTTCAGCCACATATCTGATATCTCAAAGTGTTGAAATTGTTGCATAGAAACTGAGTGCTAGGAGTGTGGTACACTGATTAATATTTAATTTGGACATGTACTACCAAGATGATGTCTACTCCTAACTGAAACATTTATGTTTTGCCTTGCCCCCACAGTACTGCAATTTGGTTTAAGATTCCCAATTCTGCAGGACGGTTAGAAGGGAGAGAAAATACTGAACTTACATAATCTGTACCAACATCATCATCATCTATTATGTTCATCTGTAATCAACTATTGCACATTTAGAAGGAATGAAAATCAATCAGAAGTGCCCAACTGGGGTATTCTACTGGTTAGTTTACTTTATCCCACTTTGTTTTTCTCTAAGGAGAGAATGCTACTGATTAATTTAATTTAATTTTATGCTAGGAGGTCATACTACTGTTGATGGGTTTGGGCCGGATAGCAGACAGAACAGGATCACAACTAACAACTGATAACATAATAAATTCCTTGAGATCCAAGTGCACAGAAACACAAGTGTAAAATAAATAAAGTAATGGGTTGAGTTCTTGGGTTGCTCTACAGGAGTAACAAGAAACATAAACCAATCCAATCCAATCCAAGAACAGCAGCAAAACACAACACACCCGTTGCTCCCATCTCCTCCAAGACGATATCTATGTTGGGCCATCAATCAAATCAACCCAATCTAAAGAATCCAAGAAAGTACTATAAACCCAATAGCACAAGAGGGCACGATGAGATGCAGGGATCCACCTTGTCGGAGCAGGGGAGGTCGGACGGAGGCGGTGGTGGCCATTCTTTCTCCCTCTCTTCCGCTCCCGACGACCCTCGCCGCCGGCGCCGGCTTGCCGTCGGTTCGCCGGAGTAACTGGTCAACCCCAAACGCGAGCTGGAGAGCTGCCTCTCTGCCTGCTCTCTCCTGTGATGCAGCTGGTTTTTGTAGTGGCCAGCTCTGACGGATGCAGCAATTTTTATTGTTCTATCTAGGTGGTGGTGCTTCTCCCGGCTTGCGTTTGATGGCAAAGGGAAGGGAGGGAGGGAGGGAGGAGAGGAGACTCGGTTTTGCTACTGCGCCATCGGATCAACGCAACTGAATGCGATGGCAATGGCAACTCTGCAATCGCAAGCGCAAGCACGGCGGCGGATGCAGCGAGATGGCACGTGGGGAAATTGACTGGGGCATTGGATCCTCTGCATCTGTGTGAAATGTCCCTAAGTTTCCGTGTCTAAAGTTTAACTGTCCGTCTTATATGAATTTTTTTATAATTAGTATTTTTATTGTTGTTAGATGATAAAACATGATTAATACTTTATGCGTGACTTATCTTTTTAATTTTTTTTCATAATTTTTCTAAATAAGACAGATGATCAAACGTTGGATACGAAAACCCAGGGTTTGCCTTTTTTGGACGGAAGGGAGTACTACTGACTTGAGCTGATGATGCTAATGACACAACAACTCCTCAGTACACATTTTTTGATGCTAATGACACAACAACTCCTCAGTACACATTTTTTTTCCTGCGAAGACGCAAAAAGATTGCACGTCAATCTATTAGAACCGTACACATGCAATAGAAGTCACATGAGATATGTTTAGGTTGATAGTACTTATTCTAAACATTCTACTATCTAGATGTTTATAGACTACTGGTACGAGATACGACACATTCTAGTACTATGAATCTGGATAGGGAATGTTCCACATCCTATATTAGATTTGTTTTTATGGGACAAAGGAGTAGTATTGCACTTAAGAGTATGGGTGAAATTATGGTCGAATCACAAAATTCCTATATCATAACCATATTTTCCATTTAAACTGTAACCGACACAGATGGTATCAGATAATAAATCACTTATCCCGTATCCTATCAATTTTATATTTCTAATTCATAGATTTTAAATCTAGTGAGGCAATTAGTCTTAAAAAGATAGTCAAGAAAAAATTAAGTAATATTTTTTGGTGAGCTCGTAAAAAAATATGAACCAATCTTTCATCATATTCATAATAAATTTTCATACATGTTTGATCAAATTGGATATACGGGTAGATACAACTCTTCGCTTATCCTAACCCATATTTGTTTGCAGGTTTGGATTCGGATTTAGACTCGAATTAGAATATTACCAGATATCTCATTTTCTCTCTCGTATCCTTCCCACGAGCTTTCCGTCGAGCGGACGGTCAGGAAATGTTCGTTCTGTTTTCACCCATACTACATACTCAATAGAGAAAAACTATGTACAGCAAACCTAAAAATTCATCGAATATATAAATAGACGTCTCAGACGTCTCATATATATCCATGTCTTCTGAGTAAAAGGATTAGTTACATATAAATCTATGAGTAAACAAACTACTCACTGTTAAATCTGGAGTAAAAAACATAGGTGAATCTCAGATGTTCATTTGTGAATATAACGACAGTTGTTAAGTACACATATGAAGTATGCAGTATACTGCCAGTATGTATTTTCCCAATCACAAAGGATCTCTCGTTCCATGGCTATATAAAACAACAGGAGTACATGTCACTGTTTGTACTGTGTGACCGTTTTACTGTTCCAACAAAAGCACCGTTTAGCTTCACTTTTCTAGGAGCGGCTGTAGCATCTTGTTTTCTTCTTCAATGCTGAGCAGAGGATCCGATTCCGGGAAACCATGGAGATGGGATTTGTACTTATCAGGCACTAATATATCCGAGTGAACTCATACAGTAAATTTTATCTTAACTAAATCATATAACAATAATAAGATTAAAATCAACTTCGCCCGTTGCAACGCATGATATTTTCTCTAGTATTATTTAAAATAATAAAAGGCACGAATAATATGGAAGGATCTAATATCAAATAATTAGAAGGTGTGAGGCTTCGAACCCAGGTCATCTAGCCCACCACCTTAAGGAGCTAAGCCGGAACCAGTCGTGTCTATCACTCTTGGTAGATACTTCCTCCGTCCCAAAAAAAAGACAAACCCTGGTTTCCGTGTCCAATGTTTGACCGTCCGTCTTATTTAAAAAAATTATGAAAAAAATTAAAAAGATAAGTCACGCATAAAGTATTAATCATGTTTTATCATCTAACAACAATGAAAATACTAATTATAAAAAAATTTTATATTAAGACGAACAATCAAACGTTGGCACGGGAACTCACGGTTTGTCTTTTTTTTTTTGGGACGGAGGGAACAATTAGATTGAGGATTTAAGACTTCTTTTCTCACTAAATTTCCTCTCTTCTTATTCAGGTGAGCTACATATACCATTTTTTTTTAAATACGCAAAAGGCTTGCCTAACAAAATTTGGTACAGAATTTGCCCACGCGGAGCTATATACAGATCACTTAGAATATAGAAATTTTACCTGAATAAGTTTATTTCCTGTGAAGTTTGTTTTGCTTTTCCAACAAAAACCGCAAATCTATTTTCTCAAGGTTGATTGATCTCATCTCTTACATCACACCCCTGGCCCGAAAATATTAAATGGTTGGTCGCCTCAACCGTTGCCCGTATCACGTCGGATTCACCTACCCTTAATCCTAACATTCAAATTAGAACTGGAATAATACTCTCATTTTTTTATTCAGTCAGAATGAAAAGTGAAACGAGCGAGAAATCAAGTTTTGCCTTTGTGAGAACACGGTTATTCTCAGAAACAACAGTTCTCCTTTGCTAAAAGGCCATTGAAAAATCGTTGCAAATTGCAACAAGTTAGCACCTAATCTTCCCCATAAAATGTCCATCACCTTGACCTTATCTCCTAATTAAACCAAAAGGACAGTACTTTCAGAATGCTGACAAATATTTCGGTGTTAGCATGTAGCCGTCTGTTGCTGTTGCTTTCTCGGTAGCCAATGTGTCCAGCTCATAGTGCTGCCAGAGGAAAAAGCAAGACAGAGTAGTCAGAGATCAAACGCATAATTTGATATCAATATCTCCTAAGACAAATCAAGATTAGCTAAGACTAGTAAACTATAAATCGTTTATGCGATGTGCATGTCTCTGTCAACATTTCTTCTGCCGTTGATGCTGTGTTCCTACCAACTCCCTCAATCTTAAAAACAAACCAATCTAAAATAGAATATGAATATAATGAATTTGGATAGCAGGTTGATTTATTTTGGAACGGATGGAGTACTACTGTTGTAGTAGTGACACCACACTGCAAATATTTGTAGTAGTGTCTCTACTTAAATAATTATTCAGTCCTAGGAAAAACCTAAATGATTATTCAGAGTAATAAAAAAAACATGTCTCTGCTCACAGGAGATTATGAACAACAGGTTAACTCTTGTTTCCTGATGAACATAGTTTGATGAAGATACAAGAAGAAGGTTCAATAATGGACATTTCTGTAGCCAAAATTTAAATTTTAAAACTTAGTTGCAGACTTAATTTTGGTTTTCTTTTTCATTGTACTTTATTTTTAGCACTTACTTTTAAATCGGTAAGAATATATAAAAATTTTACCCTGTGCGGGCCATAGATGGGCGTGCATGGGCTAGGAAGAGAGTCCTGAAGGACCAGGCAAACGGTGACACACACTGTAGATTCAGACTGGCCCATTAATTAGATGGCATTTCGTTTAATTTAGGAATAAGTTCACCGGAGGTCCCTCAACTTAACAGCGAGATTCTTTGAGGTCCCACTGGTGGAGAAACCATCTTTCATCGGTCGGCCGAATTCCACAATAGTCCCGGTTGCAATAAAAGCCAGGGCTAAAGATGATCTTTAGTCCCGGTTAAAAAGGGTAACGGGCATATTTGATCTTAAGTCCCGGTTGGTAACATCAACCGGGACTAAAGATTTCAAATGCTGTCAGGGCTACCAACCGGGACTAAAGTCCCACCCCTATATATATATATATATATATATATATATATATATATATATATATATATATATATATATATATATATATATATATATATATATATGTCTTCTTCCTCCTCCAGCTGCCCGAGCAAGCTTCAAAATTTCTTCAAAAAAGATGGGAGGTCATACCAAAATTTCTAGTGAATTTATTTTGGTGATTATATACAAATCGGAGGTGGCTAAAAGGTTAGCAACTTCATCCTCCAATGTTTTTTTTGTCATATTACATTTGGAGCTATGTTTTGCACAATTTTTTGTCTCTAAAATTTAGTTGTAAGTTGATGAGAGAGAAAATTTGTGTGGGGAAGAAAGAATATATAGAAATTTAGTTTATTTGCTAAAGAAGGTTTTATAAAATAGTTGAGAAGGAAAATATAGTGAAAGTTAATCTTAAATAATAGAAAACAAGCTAAAATGAAAATTAAAAGAAGTACAACACATTAATATTAGTTTAAACTTTAGAAATAGTAAATAAGAATTATTTGGTGTAATATTTTATAATTTTTGTATGAATAATGATATGTCATTATTGTATGACTGTTGAAAGAGTTTGTTATTATTTTATAATTATTGTATGACTGTCATTATTGTACGAATAATTATTTGTGTACGATTTTTTCCATCTCATGTAGATGGATCGGCAATGGATGTACGCTGACCGGTGGTCCAAAGAGTTTATTGACGGCGTGCATTATTTTTTGAGAGTGGCCGAAGCTAACAGGCATAAGGGTTTTATTTGTTGTCCATGCAATAAGTGTAAGAATCAGAAGGAGTATTCTGCATCTAGGACTATTCATTTCCACTTGTTTGAGTCGGGGTTCATGCTAAGCTATAACTGTTGGACATCCCACGGAGAGTAAGGGGTTGAAATGGAAGAAGATGAAGTGGAAGACGACAATATTCCGGACTTTGGTCAGTACGCTGGATTTGAAGGAAATCAAACGGGCGAGGAGGAAAGGGATGCTGATGGTAACGACGTTGCAGATGATCTTGGTCAGATGTTGCAGGACGCCAAGGAGGACTGCGAAAGTGAAAAGGGGGCCCATAAATTGGACAAGATGTTAGAGGACCACAGAACGTCGTTGTACCCAGGTTGCGAGCAGGGGCACAAAAAGTTGGATACCACTCTGGAGTTCTTGCAATGGAAGGCAAAAAATGGTGTTAGTGACAAGGCATTTGGCGATTTATTGAAACTCATCAAGAGCATTCTTCCAGAGGGAAACAAATTGCC